GAAAAATACAGCTTGAGGAGGGGGAATGGCAGATCTTTTTTGTTCTGGAAGCCCCCTCCCCAGTTGCAGAAGAGATGAGACATATGGAAGCCAAGAGATGGGATGGGAGTGTGGAAGATGCAGATGTTGGGGACATCCATGGTCTTGTTCCTCCAACCACCGGTGATCCATGTAGATATTTCCATAACGTGGCAGCATTTTATTGCTGGTACGATTTGGGTTTTTGAGGACAAGAAGGCTTCGGAGGGGGAGAAGGACAAGGCTGGGGACACAGGCAGCAAGGACTACATGTTTCTGGAGTCTTCACAACACAAGAGTTTTTGGATTTCTGTGGTTCTTGGGGTGTTGGGAAGGTGCCACATGACTTTTTCTGCTGTTGGTCCTTAGAAGACATCTTTCTGAGGTTTAAGAGAGAGGAAATATGTTTTTAGTGGCTAATTTTTAAACTCACCTCATCCCAGCTTGAAGATCAACAAGGAGAACTTCAAATACAAATACAAGGAGATTGATAGGTCAAAAATGGTGATTCTTGAGGAATGATGACTCAAATCACTCTCTAAACTGGGGGTGTACAACCAGTAGGCCCAAGACCTCCTCTGCCCTCAGCTTCTTTTCTTCTGGTCTTCAACCAAATTTGACCCACCCATCAACTCAGCACAAGGAGCTGACTCTAGACTGTTGGTTGAGGAAGAGAGATAATGAGGAGGCTTAAACTGATTATTGAATCATCCTGTTTACATAGTCCCTTGAATCATCTCATAGGAAGACAGCCAAAGATGGAGAGGTTCAAGAGAGTAGAATGAGGGAAAAATACAATCTGACCTTAGCAAAAAGATCTAAGTTAGTCTTAGCTCTCCAGTCTTTCCCAACGCCATCTAAAGAGGTTGAAACCATAATACGTCTAGCTGGGATTTCCAAGCTACACTGGAGACAACCTCGTTGACAAAGGTTAGGTGTCCCTGAGCAGTAGAAGTCCTCTGAGATATCTGGATATACTTTCTTTCTCATCATTAGCTGAAGATAATGGGGACCCAACCAGAGACCATCCCCATTCAAATCTGCCTAGAAGAGAAGAACTTACCAGCTTCACCTTCACCCACCGTGTCTGCCAAGTGATATCTGGTTGATTAAGGATGACTTGGAATCCATGACTTTTATAGAGGACCAGGAAACTTGATTTGTAGGAAATAAATACCAAAGGAAGTAGATAAAAAGCAAGCTAGAAGAATCGTTATATTGAGTCAGCTGCATAACTTGTTTTATCTCCTGCTTTACATAATATATTCAGATTTGGCCTCCATGTTTCTACACTCTTCCTGGTACATGAATATGGACTCTGTTCCTTCTGCTTCCCTTGAAATCAGAATTTTTACACACATATTGGAGGAGTAAATCAGGTTACCCAAGAAGATTGGTTCCTAATTTGGCCTGGCTTTGGATACTAGCTAAGAGGAATGGCATTCAGCGGAACATCTGGATGGCTGGACACGAAACCTCCTCCAGTACTTGTTGGCCAAATATGGACGTGCCTTCCATCTTGAACACCTAAGGACTAGACCCTCTGCCATTCAACTTCCCTCCCCCCAAAAAACAGTCAAGAACAACATCTGGTCAATGAAAAAGTATCTATGCTTGGGACCACAATCAGAACGTCTGGACAGTCAAAAGAAAGTGGTTCTTTTCTGCCAGGTCCTGCCTCAGATGTCCACCACTCTATATTTGATGGACACTTTGATGTCCATGGCTCTATTTTTGATAGACACCTTAGATGTCCACAACTTTATTTTTGATGGACACTTCAGATGTCCACAAGTCTATTTTTGATGGATACCAGACTTGGTGACTTGAGCCTCCTCCTCTAAAAATGGCAAAGATGGTCCATTGCTCCTCCAACTGTAATTCTATTTTTGCCCTTGCACCTATCCTGTCTCAAAGAAAGGGGAAGAAAGCATGAAATAATCTCCTTAATAAATAAAGCATAATAAATAAAAATCTTATCTCCACAAAACATTATCTCGGGCTAAATAAAAATTCAATTAGCCTTCTGTCAACCATGGGGCCTCCCACGGGATTTTCCAATCAACGAGTTGTCTGGAGTTTGCTATGCTAATACATGTTCAATTCCTAATCCTTCATTCTTTCCTCTAGCCAACAATAAAATAGGTCCCAGGTTTGATAATAGTCTGTATCTTCTTTATCTTTCAACCTCATAGTTAATCTGTCCATCTTTGCACATTCCAATATTTTCCTGATTATTTCTTCTTCTGATGGCAATCCTTCATCAAAGATATGTCATTTTGATGACCTACCCAGATAAGGCATTTGGTTTTTAAAATAAGACAAGATCAGAAGTTGTCTCCCGATTTGCAAACCAAACAAGAATAGGATTGCTGAATTGGTTGAACATCTCACTAATTGTTTGCTTTCTTGAGTGGCTTAATTGCGCAACCGCAATTGTCATCTGTAATTTTGTATTTATGTGACAGGGTGTGTGTGAAAGAGGGAGAAATAATCTCTAGTAAAAGGAAAATACAATTAAATTAATTTAAACCCTAATCTGGACATCGCCCCCTTTCTTAGAAGTTGATGTCTTTTGAATTGTGTTCTGATTTTCTGCCCTCTGGTTGATTTTTTTCATGACTGAGTGAGAGAGAGAGAGAGAGAGAGAGAGAGAAATAACATAGGTGACATATATAGATGACATTTCTAGGTGACATATGTAGATACACACATATTTCAATCATTGTATTTAATTAGTTAGAATATTGCAGGAACTGAAAAGAAAAAAAAATAGGGAAAACACTATATAAAAAGATAAAGTGAGAATGAGTTAGAAAAAAAGTAAAAAATATCTAAACAAGCAAATTCCAATCTTTGCTGCTGTTACTAGCATAATTATTACGGATTCCACCCTCCCAAAATTACATCATCCTGGTTCTCTTCTTCTTATAAACCACCCTTTGCACACAACCAAATGTTTAAAATCATATTTGGCCTTTTAATGCCTTAAATGCCTCTGGAAAGGGAGAGGTGCTGGCTATGTTTTGTGTCTCCTTATTTGCCGACCCAGAAACGAATCTACAACTTCCTGCTTGTTCCCAAAATGAGGCACACTGTTTTTTCTGCAACCAGTTTCATGCAAAAAGGACTGACAATTTGGAGGATGGGCCACTAGGTGATGCTACAGCACCAAATAATAATCTAGAACAAGGTAGAAAGGCTACAGTAGCTCCTTTGCTACAGAGGCTGAGGCCAACATTAAGCAAGGTTTAACCTAGGATGTAGACTGCAGCTGTAGGCAAGCAAGTAGCTTCAAAAAGAGGGAGGGAGGGAGAAAGAGAAAAGGAAGGAGGGAGGGAGGGAGGGAGGAAGGAAGGAGACACAGAAAGGGAAAGAAACAATTTGCATCTTGTAAATTTGCAGTCTACGCAGGGTCTTGTTTCCAAAAATTGAAGATATTTGAATCCCGTGCCTAGGGAAGTAGATCAAATTTCCTGTCCAATGTTGAACTCCATAGAGTAGGAGGTTTTTGGGGGGGAGGGGAAGAAGGTTGGGTTGGATGAATCAGAACCCCAAAGGTTGATCTTGTAATTAGGGTGCATGATAGGGTGGGACTTGAAATAATTCAGCTCAGATTCCCACTTGATTTTGGAACATGGACGCTCTCTTCCACTCCCCAACCTCCCTCGCAGGGTGGTTGTGAGGAACAGCGTAGGGCCACGGAGGCCACAGGTGGAAAGGCAGAACAGAAAAGTCATTGTGAACGAATTAAACATACATCAAGCAGGGAAGGAAAACAAAGAATTAAGTATTGCTATGAAAACAAAGTTTATTTGATTGCAACTTCTCACACAAAGTGAGCAGAGGAGAAAAAGGGGAGAGAAGGTGTCTCACACTTCATGACCACTGGGGAAAAAAGGCTCATAAAATTATAAAAACTACGACTGTCATGAGTTACGACTGTGATGGGCAGACTCCATTATGGTCATAACTCAAGGACTACCTGTACAAGATGACAGAATGCAGTTCGACAAAGTTTATCCCTCATGGCTTCCGAAAACTTGAAAAATCAAAAGCAGAAGTGTCACATTCTGAATCTCAATTCCCAGCATTGAATTTCCATTATGTGGCATTCCTGTGTTGTTTGTTCTGAGTTCTGTACGTTGTTTGCGTTCTTTCTGCATGTTGTTCTGCGTTTTACACGTTCTGCGTTCTGCATGTTCTGTGCTCTGTACGTGGTTCTGCCTTCTGCACGTTGTTCTGCGTGGTGCAGAAATGGAATGTGTTATAACAGATCATGTCCAACAACTTGAGTTTCATCTCCCAAATGGAAAATACAGTGTGTGAATGTAGGCAGAAGAAAATTTAAGGGCAAGAACGTAGCTGGAAAAAAGAACACCACCGTGCATGACCAGGAGAAAGAAAGCCACTGGCTTTAGGAGTTCAAAGCCAGATTGCACAACTGACACAACACTTCAGTTGCAGCAGGGTTTGCAGCAGCATGTACAACAAGTGCAGGACGGGGCAGGGGGTGCAGATGGGGTACAGGGCACCAGCACAATCTGGCCACAGCAGCACTGTCTAAGTTGGACGGGGATACAGGTGCAGGTTTTGGTCTGGCACGGGTCAGGGGCAGGAGCAGGAGCAGAAGTCTGGCAAGGCACCACGCAGATGCTGGCTTGACACGGAGTGGCAAAGGACTGGCAAGGAGAGCAGCTTTTTGTGGATTGACACAACTTTGTACAATCGCAGCTCTGGGTGGGCACGTCACAGGTGGCCGTTTGGCAAGAGCAAGTTGGTTTTGACTCGCATGAGCTGACGCACACAACCGAGCAGGAATCGCTACACGGCGAGGTGCATTTAGCTACCGGGGCCTTGGTGTCACAGCATGATTTTGCAGGCTCAGAGACGCAAACGCAAGAGCAGGGTGGGCTGCATAACGCCTGCACAGGAGCGGATTTTACACAAACAGTAGGACACGAGCAGGGCTGCTTGCACTGGAAAGACATTGGAGGTTGAGCTGCAAGACGGAGGACAGGAAAAGGGAAAGTGAGGGTTAGTAATGTCCACCCCTTTAAGAAGAGCAACTTAAGGCATGTGGTCAGACTTTTATGTTTCTTATTCACTCTAGAAACCTTTACATCACTCTCTTAAATACAACTCCCCTCCCCAGTTTTCAAATTCATTCCAGGAAAGCTTGAAATGCTTTGAAAAATTTGTGTCTAAGTAGTAATGTTTATTTTTCCTCTACCTCTGCAGCATCCTTTCCTCTCATGGTGTGTCTTTTTTTTTTTTTCAACTCGAAGAGCTATCTTGTTTTCACTGTTACTTAAGCTATTCTGTGGCCCTTCCAGCCCATCCTCCAGAGCAAACTAGATCTGCTTTAAATAAGTGGAAAGAAATATTCAGCAAAGAGAATTGAGCAATCGGGAATACTATGAATGTGTCACAACAAGAAACACATTCACTCCATCCTGGGGTGTGCAATTTGAATCTGACAACTTATAAATGTTAAATCAGGAATAAATGGTTAACATCTCCACAGACTTCGTAACTGTCCTTTGGGAGAAAACATCCAATTATCGATTTCTCTTCCCCAGAGAATAATATTTGCAGCTCCTTATGAGTTAATTCAACTTCTAGAGATTTTAAGGATTGAATGCAAGTCTTGATCTCTTTTTTTGTTTGTTTGTTTAAAAGCTTCATAATCAGCCAAATGACATCACAGAACATCACCACCTCCAAAACATTTCTCTGAAATTAGCAAGGGTCCTAAGGAGGACCATTGACCTTGTCCCACCATCCACCTAGTGTTGGATGTTCTCTAGATGGTCCTCAGAACCAAGGAAGATCAATTCAACAGGTCTTCATCCAAACTGAATCCTTCCAAACTCCAGAAAGCCACCCAAACTCAACCATGACCCACCTCTCACCATCAATGGTTTGGAGATAACCACCCAGGATAATGAGAAGGATTCAACAGTGTAGATCTCCCATGTCCCACCATCCACCTAATGTTGGACATCCTCAGAACCAAGGAAGACCAATTCAATGGGTCTTCAAACCGAATCCCTCCCAAATGCCTGAAAACCACCCCAAACTCAACCACGACCCACCTCTCACCCTCAATGGTTTGGAGACACTCACCCTAGGATCACGGGAAGGGTTCAACAGACAAAGATTTGAGTTTCTGAGCAACCTGGAGAGATAGAAACACTTTTTATACCATTCTCATAAGCTGGGTTCCGGAAGTGAAACAGCCCAAGGATACCCAAAACCTAATATTAAATATTCCACATGGTTCTAAGCAATAATCTTTAAAATTACTCTGGCTTCATTACTTTTAATGGAAATACCCTACTGTGCCATGATAGGACGTCTTTGGTGGAAATAAATGGTGATCTTGCTCCAGGTCAAAAATGTCCAGGAATGATAATGCTATAAGGGCATAAGTTTCACTATGACTTAAGTCTTAAACAATGTATTTACCAGGAAAAATATCTCACCTTGTCTGGTATGTGCCACCAACTGATCATTATCTCTTGAGTTTTCCAGTCCCTTGAAACCATCTTAAAAAACAACAACAATCAAATAAGGTGGAAACATTCGAGCCTTTTCTTTATTATTATGGGATGCCAGTGCTAACAGGATATTGGTTAGAGCCCGTGAGCCTCAAGGACAGGCGTGAATCAGCTTTTTTTTTAAATAGTAATTTTATAAAACATCAAAACTGAATAGATAAATATAAACTATAAGAAAAGAAAAAATGGAAAGCACGGAAAAAGGGGAAAATGAATAGAAAAAAGAGAGAGAAAAAGAAGATAGCAAAGAAAAAGAAAAGAATATACAAAGAAATGACTTCCTCTTTCATTGCAACATTTTAATGGATTTTAGTAATCACCTTCCCTTAAAATATAACAAAGGATCTCTTCTACCTGTAGCTCATCTCTTAGCTATAAACAAATTCTTCAAGCGAACGTCTTTAAGAGTTACCAGCAATAATAATATATCTGTTTTAACTTGGATAAAATAAACCCATTTTGTATTCCTTATTCTTACTTTTAACAAGCTCTTCTAAGAGTCCAAAAAAACAAGCATCAGAATTAATCAGAATTTTCCTTGGAGCCCATAGACCAATGGTTCTCAACCTGTGGGTGGGGACCCCATTTGGGGTCGAACGACCCTTTCACGGGGGTCGCCAAACAACGCAGTCTGCCATTTTTCCCCCTTTTCCTTAGCTGTGCTACTCCCTTTTATTCTATTGGCTTTTGAAAGCCAATAGAATAGACTCTCTTGAATAGAGTCTAATTCTATTGCTTTCAAAAGCCAATAGGAATTGTCCAGGCTGTCTCTGCCCTGCTGAGCCCGCCAAAAGTCCCATTCTGCAAACGGTGCTGCACCAGTTGAGTAGTCCTTGACTTACGACCGGTTGAGTAGTCCTCAACTTACGACCGGTTGAGGGTCGCAGCATTAAAAAGGTTGAGAACCACTGCCATAGATATATGCAACAACTGTCAAAGCCCTCCCTTCCCCTGTGGGACTGCATTTTCTAGACACTTCGCCCTCACTGCACAAAGATGCTTAGCTGAGACACGTTTTTGCCTTGCTATTAAAGTCACATTGCTATCTGTCTGTCTCTGATTTCTTCTCCTGTTTCTTTAACTTTTCTTCCTACGGGGCCTTCGAGCTCCACCTGCTGTTGCAAAGTAGCCAAATCCCTCTGATGCCTTCCTTATTTCTCATCACAAGTCTCCTCAATTCTTAGCAAGGTCTCCAAGCCTCACCCTGACATTTTTCTTCGGCTTCAAAATTCAGGACCCTAATTAAAATAAATAAATAAATAAAATGGGTTTATAGGATTCCAAATATTCCCGGGAAAAACTATCTACCAATTTTGTTTGTACAGGTGTGTGATTTTTCTGCCAGAAATTAATTTCGTTCCGAGGACTTCGAACAAGCTTGATTTTTTTCTCAGCAGGGTGATATATTTTAGTTGGATTTGATGGACTCACCCAAAAGTTAGCTGCCTCAGGACAGTTAAGTGGGATCTTGCTGGGATTCCATTAAAAGCAGAGAGCATAAGATGCATAAATGCGCACAAGGCAACTCTATAAATCAGTGAGGAACCCTCCAAGTGTCATTTCCACTGTTGGCCAGGTGGAAGCAGAGAGCGATGTGCACAAGGCAACACTCGCTTAAACCAGAGGCAGCCCACACCCTATCAAATTAGAAGCTTTCCATCTGAAATATCCAGGTTAAGGTGGAAATTAAAGGAGTCGGCCAGGTAACCATGTATATTGACTTCTTCACCCTATGGTGCTGTCTTCCTAGAAGCTAAGAAGGACCCATAAAAGAAGCTTACCTGGAAAGTTGCTCAGCTGCTATCTTTTGTCTCCAGGAGGAACGCAGTAAGTATCGTATTTGTGAGCTCTTTTGTCGCTGGTGTGCGTCGAGGTTTCGGGAGCGGGCTTCTCAACTTCATCCAGGGTTTCAACGTGATGATGTTGGTGGTGGAATTCCATCAACTGGAATTTCTCTGGTGGCTTCAGCTGGGCTTTCTCCAAATTCTCTCATCGACTTTGGGAGAACCCAGGAGCAAAGTTTTGGGTCCTTCCTAGCGGATGTGGGCTTGATTTATTTCACTGCTTCTCCCGGTGAAAAGAGCAAGGGGCAGGCTACGTCTGGGAGCTTGGGTGCCTAAAAGGCATAGCATTAAAGGAAAGAGGGACAGGGAAGGAGGAGGAAAACTTCTAGTGGTCAGCTGGAGCAGGGAGGACTCAAGCTGTGGAGCTTTTTGCTCTGTGGGATCAAAATCGCTCTCTGATTTTCTTTTCCAGCTTTTAAAAATGTTGTTGGGGATGGGGTGGAGGAGGCACTTTTGAGCTGACTTAATTATTGCAAAGTTACAAATTGCAGCGGGTCTCTCTCTCTCTCTCTCTCTCTCTCTCTCTCTCTCATACTGTTTCTTCCCTAGCTGTTTCCATCATCAGAGGGGTCTTGAATTGGAGGGCTGTTCCTATCCTATTAAGATGTTTTGACAGAAGGAAGATTCCCCTTTGGATTTAGGAAAAAAAAACCCTCCCAAAAAAATGAGGGGAAATATGTACCAGCGTTGCAAGGATACGTCCCAGTGGCTCATTTCTCTTTGCCTCAGCTGGGGAGGGGGTGACAGTGAAAATGCAGAAAGAAATATCTAAGAAAGCGACTTTCTTTTACAGCCACGCTGGGCTCTTTTAAACCAGCTCCTTTCTCTGAGACAGATCACCAGCTGTCCTACTTTTTTTTAATCCTCATTTAAAAAACAAAACCCCACAATTAAATGGATTAGCACCGTGGGTGGAGATTTAAATAGATTTTGGGGGTTGAAGTGGAAATGAGGAATTTAAGAAGCCTGAGGGATCAAGCAGGTGACGAACCGGATCAAGCTAATGAAACTAAGATATTTTATGGTCCCACGGAGCCAAACTTCCGGTTTTTCTCCTCTCCTGAGGGGACAAAGTGAATTCTGATTTTCAAACCACATTCTTGAAGCATGCGGTCTCTGATTTAGCGATGGAGATGCAGGCACCCCTTCTTAGGAGTATTCTTGACAGATGTGAGGTGAATTTTGCCCCGTTGTTCAGATAATCACACGGTTGTTAAGTGAATCTGGCTTCCTCTTTGACTTTGCTTGTCAGAAGGTTGCAAAACATAAACACACGATTCCGGACACGGCAATCATCCTAAATACAAATCCTGAATTTTGATCACGTGGCCACAGCGATGCTGCAACGGTCATACATACGTGCAAAAAAACGGTCATAAGTCAATTTTTCAGTGTTGTCGTACTTTTCAACGGTCACTAAATGAACTGCTGTAAGTCAGGCATTACCTGTACACAGGTGGTCTTGAAGACACCTTACCTGCACCTTTTCTGAATGTGTCGTGTTCTTTTCCTCCCCGCAGGACGAACCGTAATCAGGAAAAGGATGTTCTTTCATAAAAAGCTGGGTTGGTTAACCCCCAACATCGTCACCAGCCCCACCGATCCTTGTCTTACACCTTCTGCATCCTCCTGCTCAGGGGGCTCCCCCTGTCTCGGTTCGAGAACTCCTCCTGTTTACAAGGTCCTCAGGAGGGCTGGCTTGAAACCTCCAGCATTCCCGTCTGGCACCAGTGGCCCTCTGGCGTGTGAGGGTCTCCTGTCTTCTTCTGTCCCCAAGGCCGTGGAGATGCCCATCATGTTGATGTCCTGCTCATCACAGAGCTCAGACTTCAATCCCTGGAATGAGAAGAATATTTTCGCAAATGAGCAGCCTACACTTTCGGCTTTTTTGTCTCCACTCCCCCCGCCTGAGGAACCCTCACCGTGGGTTCTCCAGGTGCAGCCAGATGGCATTGCACCTCCTTGCCTGACGAGCTTTCCCTTGTGTCACAACTCTTGTGGCCCTCTGGGCATCATCCCCTGTGCTATCCAGTCCACCAACATGTTTCCTTGTGACACGGGACTTCCACTGGCCCCAAACTGTGCCAGCATGGTCCCGTGTGCTGTGAAGATTGCTGCCCGAGGTCCGTGTGCCACGAAGGGTGCAAACCTGTGTAGCAAGGAACCTGCCCCGGCCTCAAAATGTGCCAGTCCTCCTCCATGTACCATGACATGTCCGTTTGCTGCAAAATGTGCCAACGGCATGCCGTGTACCTTGGAAATCTTACCGGCCTCAAGTTGTGCCAGCCCAGTCTCATGTGCCACTAAGGGTGCCACTGAAATTCAATATGACACAAAGGGTGCCAGCCTCACGTCCCCATGTGACACCAAGGGTGCAACTGTCTTCCCTTGCAATGTGAAAGGGTTACCAGCTCCAAACTTTGCCAGCCCAACCTCATGCGCCACTAAGGGTGCCACTGCAATCCCATATGACACAAAAGGTACCACCCTCACATCCCCATGTGGCACCAAGTATGGTGGCGTCTACCCATGTGGTGTGGAAATTTTACCAACCCCAAACTGTGCCAGCCCAGTCTCATGTGCCACTAAGGGCGTGACCACAATCCCATATGCCACAAAGGGTGCCACTGCCCCATGCCCCTGTGCCACAAAATGTGTGAGTACAATCCCTTTACTGCCCCAGTGTGCTTGCCCAGTTCCTTGTGCCACTAAAAATGCAATTTTAGTCCCATCCACCCCTTCCTGGCCCACCCTTACTCCATGTACCCAAAAATCCTGTTGCAGGGCTCCTACTTATACTGTGCCCCAGGTTATACTGAAGTAGGCAGAGAGATGTGGTATTTCCTGTCCAAATATAGGAACCCTTTCCCTGTCGCAAACTTACACCCTACCGAATGAAAAGTTTGCCAAGAAGTAAGAGTCCTCCTAACCAGCTGAATTGTGAAGACACAAATCCTATTAAGAACCCATAAGTTCCCTTTCCCAGTTCTCCACTCAACCTCATGGTATCTTCTGTCTCTTGATGAAAAGGGACTTCAACTCCCAGGATGCATCAGTAGTGGAGAATCCTGGGAAGTGTAGTTTTATGAGGTAGGCTAGATGTCTATAGCAGACAATTCTGAGCGCTTTTTTTCGTGGGAAGTCTTGTATGTCCTGGGTTGGGTGGCTTTGGTATCATGTTCTCCTTTCTCCTCAACCTTCCTTGGAAGACACTTCCATGTTTAATAAAAGCTGTCCATGACTAAGAGAATGTTTTCTTGGTGGGATGGGTCCTGCTATGGGGAGAAATGAGCAAATATTTCTGATTTCTCATGGCTTCGGAATATGACTTCTTTTAATCAAGTAAAGGGCGGCCCCAAAGCCTGATTGATTCTTTCAGGGTAGGCTGGGCTACAGTGGGGATTTATATCTCCAGAACCAGAGGAACATCTACAGTTTGTGGGCTTCTTTGTCCCATCACCTCCAAGCCACCTGTCCCACCATCACCTGGAGTCAATTTTGAACCCTTGAATCTTTTCCGCCAACTTTCCACTTCAGCCCTGTCCATGAGAACCTCACCATGTTCCTTTTCTCGCTGTTCCTCTCTTCATACCCCAAACCTAGACACCTTACCTGGTCAAGAATTCTGTAGCCACCACTGAGTCACCTAAAAAAAATTCTGATCTTAATCTGGACTTCAGGACAAAGTCAAGACCTCCTCAATCTCCATCAGCAGTCTTGGTGCTTACCACGTACTTAGAATTAGTCTGTTTGCTTGGAGAACAAACAGAATCTCGTCCCTGGTGTCTTCTTCTGAATTTGACACGGGCTGTTGAGCCTGGCTGTTTTCTAGTCTTTAGTTGATGGATGTTAAAAAGTAAATATTAAAACCTGAATTCACGGACTTTCTCCTCCATGTCTTCCATTTAGTTTGATAGTTGATATTTTGAAGGCATCAAACAGACAGAGCTTTGCTTCACATGTAAAAAAATGAACCATTTGTCTCTAATCTAATATATATGTCATGTATGAGATATATGTTTCATACATTGCATAGATAGATCTACATGCTGGAAATCCCCGCTGAAATTAAATTATCCATCAATTAATTAGAATAGAGCTGGAAGGGACCTTGGAGGTCTTCTAGTCCAGCCCCCTGCTCAAGCAGGAGACCCTCTACCATTTCAGACAAGTGGCTGTCCAGTCACTTCTTAAAAGCCTCCAGTCTCCACAACTTCTGATAAGTGAATGAGTAGAAGCATGTGCAAAGTGTAGGGTGTGTCTTCAGCCCTTCACAATGCTGGCTGACAATGTGCATTTTGGTCACCTTTTCTGATTTGGTATTTGCAAAGTTGGCTGTAAAAAATCGCACCCACAAGCCCTGCAGGAAATTAACAGCCCATTGGGCAACCATTAGCAAACTACAAAGGAGATGACAGCTCTGGAAGAAAACACAATCACACAAGCTCTCTGCAGTTCTACAGTTATCCAGATGGCAAAGATTATTCAACAGGTTGTGGTGAAAATGTGGTTAACTATCTCAGCCCTTTGAGCGACGGATGTTGGAGACACCGAGGGCTGAGCTGAGCATTCTTTGCATAAATAAAATAATAATTTCCCAGCATCCCTTGCTAGAAAAGAACCTGGAGACTAAATGCCTCCAAATCCACATTTTTTAGAAAAAGAATTTGATGAGGTGAATTGCTGCTCCCAACCTCCAAAAAACACAGAATAAAAATGTATTCTAAAGAAAGATAGAATGAAAAGAGAATACCTGCACAACAAAAGAAATCGTTGTGTTAATGTAAACATTAACTCAAAATGGCATCTATTCATTTGCCAGGCCTTTTTTTGAATTTTTTTTTTTGAATTTTTTTATATATATATATATATATAAAGAGAAGATGGAAGGAAGGAAGGAAGGAAGGAAGGAAGGAAGGAAGGAAGGAAGGAAGGAAGGAAGGAAGGAAGGAGGGAGTAGCAGTTATAACTGCAAATTTTTAAAACATGCGGTAACTTTCTTCTTTCAATGATATGTTGCGTCTAATCATAAAGTCATAAGAGTTTATACATTTTAGGAACTGCATATTCATCGTGTGTACACAATTCTTTTTCAAACACCTTCTTACAATTTTCATAAATGATTGTGTCTCCTTTACATTTTGGCAATGCAACTACTAAGATGCCAGTCTTATGATTTAGCAATTAGCTGATGCGATGTGGGCTGGGCGAATATGTTCAATCTTCTTCTCCGCTTGACTCACCCAATCTGGTTCCATCCGCCGATGGATAGCTATGTCCTGGAATGATGAGATATTTAGGGAATGTTTGGAACTCCGTAAATCTTTGTATCAGCTTCAAATTGGCAGCCAAATCACCAACTGCAGTGGGCAACGCTAGGGGTCATGCTCACATTTAGGTATTTCTTTCTCAGCATGTGCTCATTTGGGGATAATGAGAGGTGTCACACTGGAGA